GGGCAAACTTTTTGACTCGAGGGCCACAATGGGTTCTTAAACTGGACCGGAGGGCCGGAACAAAAGCATGGATGGAGTGTTTGTGTGAACTAATATAAATTCAAAGTAAACATCATTACATAAAAGGGTACGGTCTTTTTTGTTTTTAGTTTTATTCATTTCAAACGGGCCGGATCCGGCCCGCGGGCTGTAGTTTGCCCACGGCTGATCTAGAACCATGTGAGCCAGTGAATCTAATGACCTTTGTATATTTTGGTCTACAGGTGGTTAAATTGACATAAATCCTGAGTTAAGTCCTGACCAGACAATTGGGGGCTATCTCTAAAGCCCTGGGGTAAAACTGTCCAATCTGATCATGGGGGACCCCACTGACATTTACTAAGAAGTATTTGTCTCTAAACTGTTGAGTTGTATTTAGGACTGACCGCTTCTCTGATCCTGAGAGTGTCTTACTTAAAAGAAGCATTATATCCTTCCATGATAAATTAAATGTTTATGTCTGTCCCTGAAAAACATCTATGTACTTATTAGGGTTATCTGAAAACTTTCCTAAATCCATCTTAATTTGTCTTAAGTCCTGTAGGGAAAATGATACCTGGACCCGGATGGGTCTGGACTCTCCCCCAGACACTGCCTGTAGAGGGCAAAGGGTAGCCAGGGGCCTGGGTGGCCAAGTTCCCTCAGGTCTAGGCAGGACTTATTCTTCCAGGGGTCCTGGATAAGGAAGACAAGATGGCTCAGGTGTATTTAGTGGGCCACTAGGCCCCATCACCTTCCTAGGGGTTTTTGGCTCTCTTATACCGTTTTGGGTCAATGTTTCCAGGCATCAGGGGTCAATTTTGTATTGCTTACACAATTTTTTATTGTTTCTTAAGGCAAAGAAAGCCTGAACATATGGGACCTCAGACCACTTCCCTTCCTTCCTACAGAAAATATTTAATTGTATGATGGTAATACTCCCCTTTGAGGGCCATGCCTCTCAATCTGCCAAGCTTATATTGTGGCCATACTTAAGTATGCTTTCTCTTCAGGGTTTGTGGATCAAACGAATCCCAGTTACTCAAAATGCAATCTAGAGGGTGTGCTGACCTTGGTGGCAGATGAGTTCCCCATCTGAAAAGACAAAATGAACAAAGAGGCTACCAGTTCCATCTTGTTAGGGCCCCCGCAGGACATCTCCTGTGTAGGGCAAGAAAGACTGCCTGTTAGTGCACACACACTAATAGCTGACCTTCCTGGCTGGACTTGCTCATAGGGAAGGTCCTGACTTAACCCCCTACTGCTGGTGCTCACATGTGTGTGACCATATTTGAGTATCTGTCAGGCAGTCACACTTTACTAATGAGATTTCCTGTGCTGCCTGTGTGATTTCCCTTAATGGGAAAGGGAACAAACTCTGGTCTGATTTCTAGAGTGGCCTAGATGGTTAAAATATTTCTGTAGGGCAAATTGAGCCTATTGGAATGACCTAAAGAAAAGTTCCTTAAAATTCAAACCGTTGGAAGGTTGTCAAGCTTATTTGACCAAAAGATGTGATGTTTTTCCTCAGAGCCAAGAAATCCTTGCTCTCTGTCAGAGGGACAATGAGGCCTGGGCATGGAAGGAGGTGGTGTCTAGAGGTGGTATTCTCTGAGCTGAGTAGGGTTTATAACCTAGTGGAGACAAACTGAACAACAAGAGTTATGACAAATGGTCCAGTGGAAGAAAAAGTGTTTTAGTACTCAATGATTCCAAATCAAAGGATGGGAGAAAATTAAGCATTAGTTTGAAGAGTTGTAGCTAAACATCCAAAAAAACTAAACAAATTTAGAATTTAGTTCAATTCATATATGAAAAATAAAACTTCAAAACAATTAACTGGAGTCTATTCCCAATTGTGTACTATAGAGTTTGTTGAGACACAATTGTTCTCTCTAAAATCACCCTCATTTTTATTAAAGATCAAATTAAGTCTAGTTGCAATTTGGCCTGATTATTTGCAGGAATACAAATAATACAATTGACTGTATAGGCTCTTTTAAAATTTGCTTTGCTGGAATCTCATGATTGAGGTTTTTTGTTTTTGTTTTTATTTTATTTTTTTCATGATTGAGCTTTAATGAGCCTTTTATGGCTCATTAAAGAAGCCGAGCCACCTACTTGCCATCAGGCTTGCCTACAATACCTGTAGACTTGGGTGAATTCCCCAAGTATTTGAGGTTCCCAAAATTCCTTGAGGTTCATTTCTTGACATCTTTCAGGAAAGTAACCTTCATTCCTTACCTGGAAAGACTACCATGAACCACGTACCAAGCAAGGTACCAGGCTTTTCTCCAAGGCGCTCACATTGCCGTCAAGTTTTTTCTGGTGACATCCAGAGTCCAAACATGTCTCTCTCAGACATGACACTCTAGTTAAAGTCTTAGTCAATAAAATGGCAGTTGGAAAGTGGTCTTATTAAATTAATGCAAAGAAATGCATTGCCATGATTTACTCATTAAGAATTGCCAAATTCTGGAGGGATATGGTAGGGAGAAAAATATATAATTTACCAAATTGCTTTAAGAAAAGAAGTTTCCTTCAGTCTGAAAAACAAAAAGATTAAGAATCAGCAATACTTTCAAAAGTTATAAAAACTATAATTATTTTCAGTTCATTCAGTCCCATAATTAATTTTTTTGTTTCTCCTGATTTTTCCTGCCAGTACTTCTATAAATCCAGATAGTCTGTAGAATTCTAATAATTTTCATCCAGTTTGAAGGGAATGATCTGAAAATGTTAGAGTCCTTTCCATGGATCCCTCAGAAGATGTAACATTTTTCTAAATGCATTATAACAAAACAGTGACTATCTCTAAATGATAAGAAGAAATTTTAAATGACATGGTTATGGATTTGAGTATAATACAAATGACATGGAATCTTGTCCTTTCTGCAAAATACTGTTACAGAAGACCAAGAAATACCAAGCACGCTTCCTAGAGAAAGGGAGGGACCCCGCTTATTAACACTAGTGGACTCTGGGAATAATTTCCAAATCAGAGTGAAGAAACATGCAGAGAGCCTGTCTATATATATCCTGCTGGGGTCTTTGTTCTGCAGATATACCCCCTGCCCCCTTCGTGGCCCTGCAGGAAGGCCCCCAGGTGTCAGGCCACATCCAATGGTCTGTTCTGGCACCAGCATAACAACTCTCCCCACCCAGGGCAGTGCATTTTTCACAGTTCCATAGCCTCTACATTTAGATAACAAGTTCTGCAAGACCAGTTTCCTCCTCATCCCACCCCCACCTTGTCCCACAAGCTTCTTTTAGCCTTGTGGAGCAACAAATCCACAGAGGGTGTTTCTGGTATCCAGGTGTTCAGTCCTGCAACCTTGAGAGTGGTGAGGGTGGTCAGGATGACGGTATGTGGTCCCTTCCAGGTAGGAGTCAGTCCTTGGGTGGTCTTTACCCAAACAGAGTCACCAGGTTGGAAGGCAGAACATCTCAGACGTGCTTCTGGATTGCTTTCTGGGTAGACTGTAAAGCCTGTAAGAACTTGAGTAAAAATTAGTTATGGATTTCAGCCTTTACCCACCAGAATCTGTAGAGGCCCCACTGGTTTCCAGGGCAGCCTTCTGGGCTGCTTCATCTGTGGCCCGGTTCCCTCTTGCCTCTGTGGAGTCCCCATACCCTGCAACGGCACTCCGCATGTGAGCTGTTGCAATCGCATACCCGCCATCAGCACAAATTGTCACTGTTTCTTCTCTTGCCCACCAGAGAGCCTGAATAAGGGCAATCAACTCGGCCTTTTGTGCCGAAGTCCTGCAGGCGAGCACCTGAGATCAGATGGTTCAATCCAAAGCAACCACCACTGCCCCCACATACCTGACTCCTCCCTGGACAGAACTGCTCCCGTCCATGAATAGTACCTCATCTGGGGATGCCAGTGGGGTGTCATTGAGGCCCAGGTGGGCTGTCTTTACAAAGTCGTCGACCTCTAAACAGTTATGTAGAGGTTCCTCAGGGTCATCATCAGGAAGGAGTTCTGGTAGCAGAAGAGCCTGAAACTGGATGACTCGAGCATTTGACATCCAGGGCTCCGGTATGCTCCTGAGCAAAGCCTCAACCGCATAACTGTGGCCACTACCGCCCGGAGGCAAGCAGGCTAACCGGATTCAACAGGGTTGAGTCTCTTGGACACGTAGGCTACTGGTCTTTTCCAAGGCCCAAGACTTTGGGCGAGGACCCCTTTGGCTATGCCCCTTGTCTCACATACACATCTGGTAGTGCCAGTTGGCCCATCATCCTTGCTCATGTCTGTCTTACTGCCTAATATATTACCTCAAGGATCCTGGCTCTGAATTCTTTCAGGGAAAATGGGGTTGAAATTCTCTTCTGTAATTACTTCCATGCTGAGATGGGTCAGAAGTTTCTCTCAGAGCCAAGAGATCCTTGCTGTCTGTCAGAGGGACGATGAGGCCTGGGCACAGAAGGAGGTGGGCTTGTGACCTGGCAGAGACAAACTGTAGCAATTAGAATAGTAAGAGTCACAACATCCTTGTCTCTCTGGAGCCATGTCCATGAAGACGCAGGCATCTTCTAAGTCTATTATACAGTTTTCTGCAGGCCACTGTCAGGGCTATGCGTGGCAGCTGGTTCCTCTTTCCAGCCACAAACACAGTCTGTCCAATTCCCCAAAATGTATTCTGGCACAGGAGAAAGTTGCTTCACTGTACACCGGTAGCTTAACCCCTATACAACTGGGCTTGGACCTCTGCCTAGCAAACTGCAGTCTACAAGTTCAATATGCAGCCTCCGATCCTCTCAACCCAACGGGGTCTTGGCCAGTCCCTCAGTCAGACTTCTCCTCTCTTGGAGAATCTCAAAGTCTTGAAGGCTCCCTCCCAGGTCCAGGGAGAGCGCCTTTTTTTTTTTGCCCTTTTGTTAACCCTGTTTACTAGTTACAGGGTCCTGCCATAAGCTGCCAGTCCAAAACAGCCAGAGTTGCAGTTAGAAATAGCCCTGCATATTACAAAGCGCTCCTGTGGCAGTGGGTTGGGTACCAGGCCCCTGCCTTCGTCCCCGTCCCCTGTGGCAGAGCAATGATCAGGCCTCTCCCAAGGGAGTGCACTGGAAGGGGATATCAGCCACCCCTCTGCTAGCAGCAACAGGTACCGAACCCTTTCAGTACATTTGACCAGCTTCATTCCCGGCCACTTTTACAGATTCCAGGGCCCGTTGTCTTCTTTTAACCAGCAAGCCAAATGACACTGGCCTGTATTATTTCCTATTGTGAGATAGAGGAAGACAATTCCTAGAGAGGGGAGAAATAGAAACAGCGGGAGTTTTCTGAGAAAAATACAGGCCGTCACTGTAGTGCCCTCCCTCCTAGAGGCTGGGTTCCGACCTGTGGAGGAAAATGACTCTTAGTTGGCTTGGAAAAGAAGGCAGAGGATGACAAGGGTGCAGGGAAATTTTACTAAAAGCCTGGAGGGTCTCCTGAAAGAAAAGATCCTTAATTTAGCACAGGCAGGGGGCAGGGCCCGTAAAATCTCCCCGCCCTGCGGAGCTGTGAGCCCCCCTCCTGAAAGTCCCAGTCAGACAAGAAAAGCCACAGATACCTTTAAATCTACCCCAGAATTCCAAAATTTCAACCTAACAGCAAAATCACAGAGCAAACCGAAGTCCCTAGTATACAAACATAGACAGAAATTTTTACTAAGTGGGCTGATTCCTCCCGTGATAGAGAGCAAACATCTCTGAGAAAACTAACTCAACAGCGCTGCTTGAGACGTTTGCAGACCATCACAGGTTCAGCCTTCAGCAAATCAAACGTTTTAACCAAATGAGCGAACAGAAAATCAAAGTAGTTTTTGCTTTCACACAGACCAGTTAATCAGCAGATAATTATGCCAAGACATACAAACATCTGTACTCTCACTCTCTCAGACTAGCCCAGACTGGAGCTGAGCAGATAATGCCCAACTGCCCAGATGGGCATGGGGGCACTCCTGGCACCCACGCCCCAGACCAGAATTCTTGACCGACGTCTTGGTGAGAACCTACCGGAGGAGTTAAGGTTGCATCGAGCCCCCCTTCTCGGTAGCAAATTTACTAGTCCCACACACAAACAAACAGAAGAGTGAACCCATAATTCCTTAATCGAATCTGAATTCACTCACCTCCAGAGTCCTGATTCCTGATTTACCTGACGAAGTCCTTTGACTTCTGGGGAGGTGATCAAGCTCCCCATTCCACTCACTTGGAGTGGGCCTGACTGACTGGGGCCCCTACCTTACCGATTCTGCTGACAGGTCCAAAGGTGTCCATCCACTTTCTCCAGATGCCGGCCAGGTCCTGGGCTGAGGTCCGGGAGCAGCTGGAGTTTCCCCTGGTTCAATTCTGCTAAAATCAGCAGCGTGCACCTCCCGGAGGCCTATCCTGCGCACCCAGGCCCCAAACCCTGTCCACTCACCGGAGGCAAGAGCAAAACGCGGTTAGCTTCCCGGTTCAGGGAACCATATGTTTCGGAAGAGCAAAGAAAGACCAAGCACGCTTCCTAGAGAAAGGGAGGGACCCCGCTTATTAATACTAGTGGACTCCGGGAATAATTTCCAAATCAGAGTGAAGAAACATGCAGAGAGCCTGTCATATATATCCTGCTGGGGTCTTTGTCTTGCAGATATTCCCCCTGCCCCCTTCGTGGCCCTTGCAGGAAGGTCCCCAGGTGTCAGGCCACATCAGATGGTCCGTCCTGGCACCAGCATAACAACCTTCCCCCCCAGGGCAGTGCATTGTTCACAGTTCCATAGCCTCTGCATTTAGATAACAAGTTCTGCAAGACCAGTTTCCTCCTCAATACAATATTCTAGAATAGCAATTAGAGTTATAAGTGAAGGTGTAATATAGTTATTGTTTATTTGACAAACCTTTCCATCACTAATTGGATTTCTGCTATCTCTCTGCTTGTGTAGATTGACTTAAGCTATTTATCCTCTGGTTGGGGAGGAATCGTGTAAACCATTTACTTTTTAAGTGTCCTTGGTTTAAGGAAGATAGAATTTACTAAATGGCTGCAGACTGCTGAATGTTCTAGGCCAGTGATGGCGAACCTTTTGAAAAACCCTAACTTAACTCTGGTGCCGTGTCACATATAGAAATTTTTTGATATTTGCAACCGTAGTAAAACAAAGACTTATATTTTTGATATTTATTTTATATATTTAAATGCCATTTAACAGAGAAAAATCAACCAAAAAAATGAGTTCGCGTGTCACCTCTCACACGCGTGTCATAGGTTCGCCATCACTGTTCTAGGCTGTTCCCAATTTGGATCCTCATCTCCCCATATAAATTAATTTATATGAGAGACCTTTACTGTATTGTGAAAAGTCAATTTATACAGGCAATTAAAGCATGCACCTTTACTGAAAAAGCAAAGCAAGTAAACATATACATCTGGGTTATGAAGTATAGACGGGCCCCAGCCAATCCGAAGAGGATGCTGGGTGGGGTTCTGAGGCATCATACACCCTCCTGTCCATATGTCTTAAAATTACTTTGCTGAATATTCTGGTACAGATTATTTCTTAAGGTTCCCTGTTACTTTGTTGTGGCCTCCCAGAAATCATGAGAAGCACCTGGCAACTTTATTTTGCTAAGCCTTGAGACTGCTAGCTTCTTTGCTTAAGGAGTGAACCCACCACCTTTTTTATCTTTCCTTTCCCCATCCCTTTTTGCATTCTTTTGTTAGGGAAATTTTTTAACTATCTGCTCTTGTGTCCTAGGCTGGGGAAGATAATGGCTTGATAGATACAAGATGGCTGTAAATTGCCCACATTGTTTGGCCTTGGTTTTAACTTTTGATCTGGTGGATTCCTCAAGAAGAGGATTTGGGGCTTGATCTTCAAGGCATTGGAGAGCCACTGAAGACTCTGAGCAGGAGAGGCTCATGGATAGATCTCCATTTGAACAGATCACTTTGGAAGTTAGTGGAAGGACTAATTTGGAGGGTAAAGCATGGAAGTGCAGAGACCATTAGGGAGTTCTTTATGAAATACTCCCTTGGGACACTGGGAATGTTTTAATGTGTTCCTGTATGGAAGGGAGGAGTGTTTGTGCAGAACAGAATATTTCAGTTAAACTTTAGGCTAAGACTTAACATAGTAAAGTTACAAATCCAAAAAACCTGAAATCTTGGTAAATTTAACTTCAACTTAATTTTACTAAAAATCTGTTAACTTTGAATAAAATGATCACACTTTCATTTGTTCATTGACTAATATTTGATTAATTCAAATTTAAGAAAAAAACTTTCCCTTGGTCATTCCCATTTACAAATTTAAAGTTTTTTGTATATATCAACCCTTAAAAATTTAATATAGTTGATTTTTAAAAATAATCCTATATAATAAAAGGCTAATATGCAAATTGTCCCCTTGACCAGGACTTTGACCAGGGGGTGGGGCCGTGGCCCCTCCCCCAGTCAGCTCCGCCCCTGATCAGCCCCTCCCACCCCAATCGGGGGTGGGGCCAGCCGACCAACCTCCTGCGTCCCCTCCCCCTGGCCAGCCTGGCTCGATTGGACCCCACCCGTGCACGAATTCATGCACCGGGCCTCTAGTCTATATATATAAAAGGCTAATATGCAAAGTGTCCCCTTAGGAGGTCGGCTGGGAGACCAGGAGTTTGATCACTTGCTGTAACATGCGCTGAACACCAGGGGCCGGTGCAGAACAAAAGAAGGCCTGGGCCAGCAGCCAGCAGCGATGCCCTGGCTGGCAGCTGGCAGCCAGGGAAGGGAGGCCCCGGCCGGCAGCTGGAAGGCCCCTATCAGCCCTGATCACTACCAGGCCTAGGGACCCTACCTGTGCACAAATTTCATGCACCAGGCCTCTAGTTTTACATAACTAACTGAGCAAACTTAGACCTGTAACAAGAAAAATCTAAAGTACTTAAATAACTCTTGCAAATTGAATAAATTATGCTTATAATTATAATAAATCAAATTCTCATAAAATTCTAATATAAGAAGTATGTCAGATTCTCTTGAACATTTAAAATAATTTAAATAACAAGCATGTGCACATTATTCATACACATAACATAGTGGCTTGAGTTTCATCTGCTTCATTATATCTGTTTTTAATTTCTAACCTTTTCAGTGAAGTGGTACTGCACTCACTGCAGGGAAGCAGTTTCACCTTCTCAGAATAGCTGAGACTTCTGGTCAGAAGGCTTCTCTTTCGGACATTTGAGACTGAAGGCTGTGCACATCCTCTGTGTTTTCAAAAGTCACTCAGAGTCATGGATCTATTCCATGCATATTTAATAAAATAACTTTAGAAATATGTATGCCTTGGTCTAAATAATAAATTCTGGAAATACGGATTTTAAGAACATATTTATTTTTATGACTAGATTTATCTAACTGTATTATACTAATTAAAACTATGTTTAGTCTTTTAGAAACTTCTATCAATATCTTTAAATATAGAGTCTAAAATGTTAACTTTGTAAATAGAAAGATTGTGACTTGGCAGAAAATTTTAGAAGGAAGAATTTTGTGTCAGTTTTATTGGTAGGAGAAAACGTACATCACAAGACTTGTCAACTAAGTACTTCAGAGTAAGTGAGATGTGCCAAGTTTACTACCAAGACCTCTCTGCTGTTTTAGACCACTTATGCTCATAGTTGTGTGCTCTTGCTGCTTATTTAAAGAACAATGTGTGCCAGAACTCCAACATTGTATTGAATAGGAACTTAAGTAATTTGTATGAAATGCAATAGTTTGAAAAGAAAGTTTATTCTAGTAAGTCCCATTTTTAAATTTTGTGCATATACCTAGGGCAGTGATGGCGAACCTTTTGAGCTTGGCATGTCAGCATTTTGAAAAACCCTAACTTAACTCTGGTGCCGTGTCACATATAGAAATTTTTTGATATTTTCAACCATAGTAAAACAAAGAGTTATAGTTTTGCTATTTATTTTATATATTTAAATGCCATTTAACAAAGAAAAATCAACCAAAAAATGAGTTCGCGTGTCACCTTTGACACGCGTGTCATAGGTTCGCCATCACTGACCTAGGGCAAGGTTGGGGAACGTTTAAGGCCCTAGAAATATTTTGATCTGGCCTTGCCAAGCAACCACAGGTGGGACTAAAAATTCAATAAATCTAGGAGTTTTTTTCATAGCAACGTAAGTTTATATTAAGTTAATTAAATTAAGCAAATGATGTTATAAATATCCGAATGCCCCTTGGCGGAAAAAAGGTTCCCCACCCCTGTTCTAAGGAGTTGTTTCTCCCCTCAAGATACATTCTTAACTTATCTTTGTTTTTTTTAATCTATAAGAAGAAAATATGCTATTTCTTTTTTTCTTAACAAGTCATGAAATTAAATGATGATGACAAGGCATGGTTGTTCTAGAAGCATCTTGGTGCTCTGCCATGTACACATAAAGCTAATAGTTAAAACCAAAAGACTTTTAAATCCTGCTGTATTCATTCCCTGGGACAGTGAATCCAACAAAATTCAAAAGCAGCAAAATACTTTGGATTGTGTTTTAAAATAATAATTGTTTACCTTTGCACCAATTCACATAGGTTTGTGGGTAAACTTTATGGAGTCATTATTTGCTTTAAAATTTGAGAATAATTTTTTCATCTATAGGGTTTTGGACTGACAAGGAGGAACTAAAGAAACTGAGACAAAGTGAAATGGTTTTCAAGCCACAGAAGAAATGGCAGGAATATGAAATGAGTATGGAAAACTGGGTGAAGGCAGTGAAACGCTCCATGAATTGGTATAACAAGACATAGCACCAAACAGAATGGCTGAAACCGCAGATGGCTGCATGTGACATGCAGATGAGATGAGCTCAGGAACACCAATACAATGGGGACTGAGAGGAGACTTAAAATGATCTGCACAACTGAAGAGAAAAAACACTGATTTTTTTAAAACAACAATAAACAAAATTTTTTAAACCTCCATTTTTTTTTTTTTTTACCCAAACCTTGGAAAGATTCTAAGGCGGCAGTACCTCAAAACTTTCTATCTTCTGTTTTGTAGCAAAATTCCAAAGGACATTAGTCATTAGCAATTATATTTTGACAGTTATAAGTCTTCCTTTTTAAAATACTAGGTCTATGGTACATATGAACATAATTATTTACTATCCAAATCAATAGTCCTAGATCAAGACCATTCACATTTTGTTCCAAAATTATATGAAAAGTATTCCTTTATTTAAAACTAGATGGACTATTCAAAGTCCACATAGCTATAAAAAAAATAATAACTGAAGAAATGTGGAATTTTGAAACATATTTTATATTTAAAGCCATAATTATTCAATGTTGTATCCAAATACAAGCTTGATGTGTTTATGTCGGATAAGCTTGTTAGTCAGTTTTTTCCTTTATTGAGCTTAAAGCCACTGCCTTAATTTTTCCTTGTTTAGTCAATATCCGAGCATTACGTATATATTAAAAACACTGAAACTTAGGGTATTGATTCCTAAGGAACAAGAAAATACTGTATTTTTCTTCTTAAATAGTATTTCTTTCAAACATTTCTGGCTAAAGTATAACATCCCATTTTAAAAAAACAAAACAAAATGTAGGTAGTAAGTATAAGTCTTGTCTTCTGTTTTTGTTTTTAATCTTTCTTAGTTGTTGAGATGTCTGCATATATGTCATTTGTTTTTATTAAGTGCCTAATTGACAGAGCTTAATTTGAAGAAAGTGCCCTAATTTACCAGTGACTTAATGATGGTTTTCATTAGGTCTTTTACTTGTCCAGTTATCTTTTTAATTTTGGTCTGTGTTTTCCTCTCTAAAACATGCAGGGGTAGTGGTAGAGGTCGGAGATGTACTTAAAAGAGCAAGACAGTTCTCTGTTTTCCAGCTTTCTTGATAGAAGAGTAGAGGGGCAAGAGTTGTGAGTAGCTTCAGGCCAGGAGTAAAATTGCCTTAAGGCAGTTGATCACCTTCCTGCTCTCAGATGATTTGCCCCTCCTTACTTTTGGGCTAGGTCAGTGGTCGGCAAACCGCGGCTCGAGAGCCACATGCGGCTCTTTGGCCCCTTGAGTGTGGCTCTTCCACAAAATACCACGTGCGGGCACGCATGTACAGTGCGATTGAAACTTCGTGGCCCATGCGCAGAAGTTGGTTTTCGGCCTGGGCAAGTCTATTTTGAAGAAGTGGCCTTAGAAGAAGTGGGCGATGCAGTGCCGGGGAGGTACATTGTTTTGAGGTACGTTCGCTGAGGTCGACCCCTTCCAACTCTCCCATCCACACTTGTCTATCTGAAACAAGTATACAGGACGAGTGTGGATGGGAGAGTTAGAAGGGGTCGACTTCAGCGAAAGTACCTCAGTCAGATTGAGGACGTTTTTAGCAAAGGCCAGCTTAGGAGTACCCTAATTAACTTAATAACAATGTACCTACCTATATAGTTTAAGTTTAAAAAATTTGGCTCTCAAAAGAAATTTCAATTGTTGTACTGTTGATATTTGGCTCTGTTGACTAATGAGTTTTCCGACCACTGGGCTAGGTTCCTGTTAGATTGGCGGCAGTGATGAGATTCACTTCCCTATTGGTCGGGTTTATCACAAAAAGTCCTATGGCTAGCTGTTTAATAATAATGTAATTGTAGAAGTGACTGTTACAGGGAATTTTGGTGTGCTTTTTTGTATGACCTAAGAAAAACAACCCCCGTCCCCCCAAAAAAACCACACAAACAAGATGATGGAGAAAGTTCAAATAGGTTGGTTGAATTGTGCTTTAATGTGTCTGTTCACTACTGAAAACAAGAATTTTCCAATTTTACTTGTATTTTCCTGAATGAAATGATATATTGTCACATTAGAAAAATTTTAATTGCAGTTGACATATAATATGATATTCGTTTCAGATGTACAGCATAGTGATAAAACATTTATATTCCTTACAAAGTGATCACAGCCATTAATCTAGTACCCACCTGGCACCATCCGTAATGATTATAACATTACTGACTGTATTCCCTATGCTGTACTTTACATCTCCATGCCTATTCTGTAACTACCAATCTGTACTTCCTAACCCCTTCACTTTTCTCACCCAGTTCCCAAATCTCCCTCCCACCTGGCAATGATCAAAATGTTTTCTGTATCTTCGAGTGTTTTCTGTTTTGTTTGTTAGTTTATTCTGTTCTTTAGATCCCACATATAAGTGAAATCATATGGTATTTGTCATTCTCTAACTTATTTCACTTAGCATAGTACCTTCTAGGTGCATCCATGTTATTGCAAATAGTAAGATTTCATTCTTTTTTATGGCCAAGTAAGATTTCATAGTATTTATGTATCATATCTTCTTTATCTAATCATCTAACGGTGGACACTTAGGTTGCTTCCACATCTTGCATTGTAAATAATGCTGCAATGAACATAGGGATGCATATGATTTTTTGAATAAGTGTTTTGGATTTCTTTGAACAAGTACCCAGAAGTGGGATATACTGTCATATATTTCTCTTTCAGAGGCAGATTTGATAGAATTAGGGGTCAAATTGCATTTCTACCATTTCTATTTCAATGTACTTTAATTGTCTTCTTAAATGATTATTTTGATGGAGTCGTTACTGCAAATGTATAGTATCATTAACTCCATTAATTAAGATTTGGAAATATTTTTATGTTGAGGTGTTTTGTTTACTGTAATAAGTCAGATTCCCTTATATAGATATCATACTCTTTTCATTCTTTGTTTTTTTTTATGTCCTTTTAACAAAGCTTGGGGCCAGTTAAAGGCTTTATTATCAAAATCATATAAAAGCTGCTCTGCTGTTTTAGTGTTTCTTACTAGTATAGAGTCTGCTTCTCAGTGGATATGATTTCATAGGAAATCTGTCTTTTTGTATTAGGATATATTGAATTATAACATTATAAATACCTAAAAAGTTTTTAGTTCATCTCTTTTTCACATTTTCCTTTCTCAACCTTAAAGCACAAAAAAAATATCTTTTAGATAATGTGGGAAAGTAACTTTGACTATCACTTATTGGAATTGAGCATCTCAGAAATCAGTGGCCATGTTTTTCTTTTGTTATCCTAGAAGTTACTCTTCTATTTTTAATATTTCAGTCTATTTTTAGTAACAGTTTCATAAATCTTTTGTCAGATTTGACTTAAATCAGAAGTGTGACTACATTTGCTTTTGTGGTTGTAGAAACAGGTGATGATCAAAATCAATTGAGCAAAAAAATTGTCCTTTCCATCTTTCAAGTTCATTTTTCATTTGCATGTTAATATTTGAAATTTTAAAAAATTGTGTGCTAATTTTCTCATAATGTTTTGTTTTCCCTAATATTATGGATCTGTCAGATATTTTTAGGAGGTATAGCTGTCTTATCCAGGAGAAAATTCCTATAAAATTTTTCTTAAAGTGGCACTGATTGCTTCTATACTACAGACTTAGTGGTTTTAAGTTTTTATTCTCAGCATTATTGACATTTTGGGACAGGTCATTCTTTGCTTTAGGGGCTGTTTTGTACATTATAGGATATTTAGCAGCATCCCTGGCCTCTACCCGTTAGCTACCAGTAGCATCCCAAGTTGTGGTTAAAAATGTCTCCACATATTGTCACATGTGCCCTGGGAGGCACCACAACCCCCAGCTGAGAACCACTGATACAGACTGTTAGAAGGAAAGAGGAGATGGGGGCCATGTGGAGTACCTATCACATCCTTTAATCTCTGCCTCATTTTACTTTAGTAAATGGTCCTTAACAAAAACAGGTGGTAGTGGAGTTTCCACTTTGTAAGGTTTCTACTTTGCTGGTTAATATGGTTAAAAAGGCGTTGTAATTGTTTTCTGCTAGTTTTACTCCCCCGACCCCACCCCCACCCTCTGGGTGGGTGGGTTCATGATTTCATGAAAGATTAATGTAGTCCATATGATCTGCCTTTGGTTTCCTTTCCATCTCTGAGCCAAGGGGGTGGTCTCTGTCTGTGTCTACCCCCCTCCCAAGCCTCCAGCAGACTGGAAACCCCCAGAAGCATGTCTGCTTCCATGGGACCTAACTCTGTGCCTTCATATTTGTGGGAGGAACTTTTACTCTGTTTACAAGGGCAACTTTTTTTTGTATATATATTTTATACTTGTTGACAGGGAGGAGCTTCTATTTGTTGCAAGTAAAACATGTTTTGTTGGATTAAGAAGGACTACTTTGGTATGAGAGCTGGAATCTTCATACTGTTATTTTTAAATTCTTCATGTTTATGAATTTGCATATGTATTTATGTAGAGATAAATACACCCACAAATACACGTTTACATTAACTTTTTAAGGTACATTTGGAGCCTTTCTAGTCGCAGGTTTTGTATATTTGACTGAAGATGACTAACAGATTGAATCTTAAGAATGTCACTCAGATGTTAGAGAGAAAAACTTGAGAAAGAGCCCCTTCTGCAAGGGACTTATACTAGGGACAAGTCTTTAATTAAAAATAATTTAGCCTAAGAGTTTGAAAAGAATCTATAATTCCTGAGGAGGATATAGGTGGAGCCTGGGGCTCTTCAACTTTAAGTGATTCTGGAGTCATCCCAGAGATAGTCTAGAAGGCTTGGATCTGCCCCCAAAGGATTCTGAACCACTTTGGGACATTTAGATCATGTTTCTGAATCAGAATTAAAAGCTCAAAACATACCCAGAACATATCTGGTCCCAGAATCATCCTTTTCCATAGACAAAGCCAAGTAATCTGGTTTGAATCAGTCCAAATGGGTAACCCCAAAGAAGCAAATAT